TGATGCAGTGTGATTTTACATTCCTCCACCACTTCTTTGAAAGAGATGTTTGTATCTAATTCTTACCTTGATTTTAACTGTAAGTTCCTCATTGCCAGCAAGAGCATTTTCATCAGTTAACGATATCAACCGTATCTTATCTAAAGCATCTGAAGCATTTGAAATAAGTTCCCGCAAGAAAATCTGAAATAGAAACCAGTAGTCAAGAATACCAGGAGAGACAGACACACACCTCCCAAAATTCAAACGTGATTTGCAAATGAAGGCACTAACCTCTTTATTTTTATATAGAGAATTGATAATTAGCTTCATCATTCTGTTCACTTCTGCTTGAAATGCAAACTTCTCAGATTTCTCTCTGATTTCTTTGATCTGGGATGCATTTAGGCCATCTAGTTGGATAGCTTCTTCCTCTCTGTTAGGACAATGAAAAATCTATCAAGGAGTCTTGTCCACAAACAGAATGACTAATTTAATCAGAAAGTAGCAGCAGTAACACTTAATCACTGATGCAGCACAAAATTACATGATCAAATGAGTCAAGTGCAAGAGTGGCCATCCTTAGCTATATAACCATAATCCAAAAACGTAAGTGAAAAATCATGCTTTTTGAGGCTTTTTGCAAGTTGAGGCATTTTTTCATAAGAATTCAGGGAATAATACAGGTAATCTAAAAGCTGCTACAACCCTCAAATGTGGAGCACCTTGCAAGACAAGGAGCATTTTATGGGCATGGAGCGATTCCATCCACAGGCACTAAACTGACACCACTTATGACATGCATGAGTAAACCCCAATTAACAGCTATCGATATTTGATAAAAACAAAAGCTGAACTTTTCTGAAACCAAGTTCTCAAGCTCGCTTTTATTTAGAAAGAAATAAGTCTCTTACAGGAACGTTTTATTTCCCCCAGCTAACTGGATCCCTCTTTTGAATAGAGCTCTCAACTTATTTCTGAGGCATAACTAGTGCTCAAATTGACCCTTCCAACACCAGGGCGCCCGAGGTACCAACCTCTGAACAACTTCATCATCCGTTCGAGACCCTTCTCTGCTTTTGCCCAAGTCATCTTCCACGGTCCCATCTACATCCACCTCATCGGCTCTGACCGCCACTGGGAAAACAAGGAAACCAGCGCCCTGAGCCCGATCCCCACGCTACGCACTACCCCAACTTCTCCGCTTGCCCCTCCCCACATCTTCAGGCTCAGCTCTGCACCTCGAGTCCCCCGCCCCCCCGCCAGGGGAGCTCAGCCCAGCCCAGCCCAGCCCAGCCCAGCCCAGCCCAGCCGGAGACACGGGAGATGGGCAAGGGGAGGCCTCCT